CCGGGGGGGGTTACGGGGAGGGGGGTGGGGGGCCAAGCCCCTGGGGGGTTACGGGTAAGGGGGTCGGGGCTGAGTCCTTAGCGGGGTTGCAAGGGCTGGGGCTGAGCCCCTGGGGGTGTTACGGGGTAACGGGCTGGGGCCACGGCCAGCCGCTCCACTGGGGCAGGTAAGGCAGGGAACAAGCAGAGTTACCCCAGGAGCATCTTGCTGCTGGGCCCCATCTGCTGCCCAGCACCCCGTGCCCCCTTGGGGAGCAGTGTGCCATGTGCCCTCAGGGTGCCCGTGCCGCCGTACATCTTGGAGGACATCCCACACTGAGCCCTCAAGCTGGCCAGGCAGCGCTTCTGCCTGCACCCCATCCCGCATGCCCGCCGTGCCGCGGTACCGCCACCGAGCCCCCCATTTTGGGGCTCCCAGCCCCTCCGTGTCCGTGTCAGCGCTCCTCTATCCCAGAAGCAAACTCCAGGAGAAGCCCCCAAAGCTTCTTCCAGGAAAAGAGGCCTTTCTTTAGCCACAGCCACACCGCTGCATAATGCATACCGCTGCTTGCAGGATACATGTGATGATGAATAAGCATGAAACCACGGCTGTCTGCTTTCAAGCCCCTTTTTGCGACCTGGATGAGTGTGCATGAAGCACAGGAAAGTATGAAGATGACAAGAGGGGTGGGAAAGGTGGTCTAAGGGGCCAGACGTCAGCCCTGGCATGTTTTAGTGATGGGCTGCATTTCTCCTGCCGCATGAAGGGAGCTGGTGACTTCAAGCCTTCTCTGGCAGGGATGGTTTGTGGCTGGTTCTCTGCGCCGGTGAGAGCCCCAGTTCTGGAAGAAATCAAGATAACAGCTCGTTACAGCTCGGCGCTTGCACACGTGCGGCGTTGAAGTGCTGCCCTCGCTAGGGCTGAGCGCGAACCCGGCGGCCGCTTCCTGCCTGGGCCCCAGGGGAGAAGAAATTCAGCCTGCTTGGCGAAGCAATCTGAGCGGTATCCTCCCAGCCAGCGCCTCGAAAACACACCCGCTGCCTTCTTTAGCAGGCCCGGCACCCCGGCCCGCCCGACTGTTGTCAGCTCCCTGCGGATGACGAGCCGGGGAGGCTGCCGTGGAGGGCAAGCAGGCGGTGAGTGTACTCCCTGGTGCTTCTTTCCAGGTCTGGGATCCTCCTTTTGGGGTGATCCCGGCAGTGTGGAGCAGGGGGAAGGCTGGGTGGGATCCCTTGGGTTTTTCCCAGGATGAGGTTTGGGAAGAAGAGCCCGGCAGCTCGGGAGAGCTGATTTACTGACTCCCAGGGGCTGTCCGAGGCCCTGGAGCGATGGGTGCCAGCCCTGCTGCAATGCTGCAAACGCCGGGGAGAGTGGTCCTCGCCCCAGGCTGGGGCTTGTGCGTGGGCAGAGCATCTCCACTCCTTCTTCTTGCTCAGAGCAGAAACCTGCCATCTTGAACCAAAAACCCACGCCAGGCAAGCGCCTCCATCCGCAGGAGCCACCTCTCCAAGTGAAACGCCTGGGCTTTGCTTTGCTTCCCGCGGTGAGGGCGTTGGGGGCTGCTGTTCCCCATCACCCGGGCACGGCGATGACACCGCACGCTCCGGCAAAGGGCACGTCTGCCGCCAGTCCGCTCTCGTAAAGGAGAGACCAAAGCGCTGAGCTTCCCCAGCGCCGCTGAGACGTCCCTCAACAGACCCCAGCCTGCTGGACAAAGCCAGAAGGCCAAATTCAGCTGAAATGGGTTGTTTGGGGAGAGGAAGAGGAGGAACGATGACAAAATCCAGCCCTTATTGGGGGCGGGTGCTGCCCCGGGATGCACCAGCTGGCTGGAAACCCCAAAGGAGCAGGGGACGCTGCAGCTCCTGTCCTGGCGCTGCTGGGTGCCAGAGTGATGGGGAAAGCCTGGGATGGAGAAGGCTTTTTGGGACTATCTCCTGGTCCGGCCGTGCCTCTGAGGTGCTGGGTGCAGGCGTGGGAGCGGCTGGGGGTGGCAGAGCAGCGGGGTGGGGGGATGCTTTTTGCCCGGTCCCAGCTCCTTCCCCCGCTGCCGGAAGGTCTGACGCGGAGCAGGGGCACAGTGACCGTCCTCCTCTGCGGAGGGGGGATCCAGCCCCCGGCACCATTGCGCCAGGTTCGGGGCCGGGGTAGGTGCTCAGGCAGGAGCGTAACTGCAGTCTCACCTCCCTCCTTCATCTCCCCTGGGAGAGAAACCAGTGTGGGCAGCCAGATGTACCGAGTCCCCGTTTAGCTCTTCTTTTTATTCATTTGCATAAATTGCAGCTATTTGGGGGGGGGAAAACGATTTTGAGAAAGTCTCGTCACCGCGTATGACGAATCTCTCCTGTTCGTCATGCTTCCGACGTGACCCTCTTCTGGCCGGTCACATTCCTGGCGGAGAGGGGGAAAAAAACCCCAGAACAAAACCAACCCAAAGCGGAAGAAAAAGCAGCACGCCACAAAACCCAGAAGGCAAATGAGGAGCTGGAAAAACTTGAAGCATCCACAAAGAATTTCAGGGTTGGTTTTTTTTTTTTCCAAAACTCTTGCTGACCCCGCGTGGCTTCTCCTTGCCATCCGGGTGGCGGCGAGAGGTGGTGAGCGGGTGCCTGCTCCGCCGCCGTGCCATGTTATTGCCAAGCCTGGCTTTTCCCAAAGAGCTGCTGCTGCCTGGAGGAGCCGCGTCTCTCTGCTCTTCGTCAGCAGCAGCAGGGCTCGGGGCGGCCGTACTGCGATTTTCTCAGCGCTCGCTTTGGAAGTGTTTGTAGCGGTGTCTAAATAACCTAATTTAGAGGCCGTGAGATGGGGAGGGTTTTGGCAGGCTGCGCCGTGCCGGGAAGCTGGACGGAGGGATGCGGCTGGCCGGGAACGCGGCTCTGGCAGCTCTCGCTGGATATTCTCATGTCGAGAAAACAAGGCTGGGAGGGTCCTGCGGAGAAGAGCCGACCTTCTCCCTGTCCGGGAGCGCTCGATCACCGCTGGCTGGTGCTTCCTCACCCGTTCCCCGTCCCCTTCCCGGGAATCCCGGTCCCCCAGGGGACAGGAGCAGAGCATTGGCTTCCCCTCCCTGGTGTCCTTTCTCAACTGTTCCCACGTCTTCCCCAGCTCCGGTTTCCCCAGACTAAACACCCACCAGGCGGCGGGATTTTGGGATTGACGGCTCGCCGGCGTGGGCAGGTGGGTGCTCCCATGGCCCAAATGACGCAGCAGCAGGTTGGGGAGGCACCTGGGGGGGCCGGGGCGCAGGGATGGGGAGCACCCCCCTGCACCCGAGCTGGTGACACCCTGGTGCTTTTCCTCCTGGGATGCCGAGTTTGCTGGGAAGATGCACCCCACATCTTAAACGTGCCCAAACGCCCTGATTTCAACTGGCCGATAGAGGCAAAAGTGGCAGCCTGGCACCTGGCAGGGCTGGTCCCCGTGTCCCCTCGTCCTGGCTGTGACGGTGTCCCCAGGAAAAGGGGTTTTTGGGGGGCTGCTCAGGTGCCCGATCCCTCTGAGCTGGGAACGCAGACCCGCGCTGAGTCACCGGCTGACCCAGGCGGGAGAAACCCTGCCGATTGTTTCCAGCTGTGTTATTGCAGCGCTGCTGGCCCTGGAGCGCTTGGCCGGGGAGAAAATAGCCCTGGCCAGCCGGGAAATCTGCCACGGCCAGTGGCCAGCTCAGACCATGGGGGGCAACGGGTCCAGGTGCCGCAGCCACCTCCTCCTGCTGTGTTTCAGCATCGCGGCTGCGGCCAGATCCTGCCAGGTTTGCCAAAGGGAGGAAAAGAAGGGGGAGAAGGAAAGCAGCGGCGGGGTGGGAAGGCGTTGGGCAAGGAGAGGCCGGTGGAGCAATGCTTGCCCAGTTGCACAAGGCCCGGAAGGCCGGGCAGGGTTTGGCCCAGCTGCGGGGCGAGCGGAACGAAGAAGGAAAGGGGCTGGAGCCCGGCGGTGCTTCCAGCACAGCCAAGGGCGAGTCCCGGGGCATCTGCTGCAGGCAGGGAGGGAGGAGGGAGGGAAGGGACAAGGGAGGGAGGGAGGGAGAAAAGAAGGAAGGGAGGAAGGGAGGAAAGGCGGGAAGGCAGGAAGGAAGGGAGGACAGGAGGAAGAAAGGGAGGGAGGGAGGGAGGAAGGAAGGGAGGAAAGGAGGGAGGGAGGGAGAAAAGACGGGAAGGAGGGAAGGAAGGGAGGGAGGAAGGATGGGAGGAAGGAAGGGAGGGAGGGAGGAAGGAAGAAAAGGAGGGAAGGAGGGAGGAAAGAAGGGAGGGAGGGAGGATGGGAGGAAGGGAGGGAGGAAAGTAAGGAGGGAGAAAAGAAGGAAGGGAGGGAGGGAGGAAAGGCAGGAAGGAAGGAAGGCAGGAAGGGAGGATGGGAGGACAGGAGGAAGAAGGGAGGGAGGAAGGGAAGAAGGAAAGGAGGGAGGGAGAAAAGACGGGAAGGAGGGAAGCAAGGGAGGGAGGAAGCATGGGAG